GCTCTTCCTGTGGCCTTTGCATATCAGTGATGCCACAGAAAGGAGCAGTCAGGACCCATCTGTGGCACGGTGAAGCCAGGAAGGCAAAGCTGAACATGTTCCTCCTTCCCACTGAGCAATATTGTCATTGGGCCACTGATGGGGACTCAGATAGTAGTGACCGCACATGACAGAGTTGCCCTTTTCCCATTCCCTGTGCCATGGGTATATCCAGATCGTGGCCAGTGTCCCGCACATAAGCAGCTTGGTACAGAGCAGTGCTCTTGCAGATGTTGGCTGGCAGGGAAATATCTCACTGCCCTAAAGTGCTGGAGGGGCAAGGGGTCACAATTCCTGAGCTGCACTCAGCTCTTCCCTACTCTCTTTGTCTTTCTGTCCAGAAACTCTCTCCCATCTTCCCAGGCATTACCAATGTAACTCACTTTCTTTTTCAGACTTAGCTTTCCTCTTGGCTTGTGAATGTCTGGTATCACCCCCTTTTCCCCCTGTGAAGCCAACCAGACCACAGCCAGCACCTTTTGTCTGCCCTTGGCCTCCTTTCACACACTTGGCAGTAGTATCTGCCATGCCATGGAGCAGTTGCCCTTGCATGTTTTTTTCTGCCTCCGTATCTCTCTCCCACTGTCCACCCTTGTCCTGCTCAGAGGGTTTGTCTGGCACGTGCCCAGAAACACCAGGGTGGCCCTGCTCCACTCCCAGGGCCCGGGGTGGGAATGCTGAGGCTGTGCCGGCTCCAGCCACGTCGAGGCATGAGGAATTCCCTCAGGACAATTGCTCAGCCGGGAGCTGAGCTTAACATAACTTTCTGTCTGGGAAGAAGGGCTGGGGAGGGGGTTAACTCCAAAAAAAGGGTCATCAAGAGGGGCCGGGTATAGATACATTAAGCCACTGGCACAGAGGCTGTAACATCTGTTCTTTCACTTCTCCCCCTCTGGTGAAACTCGGGGAAGCGAGGAAGGCTCACAGCTCAGCAAGCAGCCCTGGTGCCGGGGGGACGCCCTCTGTTTCCAACAGAGGGCAGTGGGGCTCTGGGCTGGGGGGCTCCCCGCCCCCCACCCCAGCAGTCTGCCCCTAGGCCGGCTCTCTAGGCAGGCCTGCTCCCTGCGAGCCCAACACCCTATGCAGCTCCAGCTCGTGGTGGAAGGGATTGCTTGTGAGTCACTTCCAGCCACGGCCCTGCCAGGCCCCTGTTGCAGCAAGAACATCGCCGGCCTTGTGGCCTTGCCAATTCTGCTCTAGCAGGAAGCTGGGCTCACAGGCCCGTGACACGCTTGGCAGTCACATCCCCGTGCCTCCCCTGGCAGCCCTGCCCAGCCTGGAGTTGCCGGCCTCACTCCGGCCCGATTCCATGACCGGGATTCCCTTCCTATCTGTTCTCTCTATTACCTTTCTGCTGTGCTGAGCATGTCTGGTGCTCTTCTGCCCCGCTCTCTTCCTACTTCTCTGCGCTTTCTTGTTTCCTAGATGAGCTAGAGCAAGCTCTCACCTCCACACTTTTTCCACACTCTGTTGTTCTGTGCAAGGATACATTTCCTTTTGGCTGTTACCTTGGCTTCCATAAGCAGCTTTATCTTTTCTTATGATTCAAGGGGGCAGGCAGTATATTCTATACCGCTCCATTTTTTACCAGGGCTTACCAAAGCCAGAGCAGGGTTTGTGCTATAGCTGGCTAAGCATGCGGCTCACCTGGCTATGCCTCTGCACAACCTGTGACTGGGAGATAAGCCAGTCCTTCTGCAGATAGGCTGGCTAGAGAAGCTGCTGAGGATGCTGCAGAAAGGAGGCGTAGGGAGGATTTATAGTGTCTTGGAGAATATTTTGGTCTCAGCTGGCTTGCTGCACTTCTTCCCCAGTCTGTCCTCAGCTCAGCTCCCTCTGTTGCAGGCCCGTGCACATGCATCCATCTCCACACATGCCTGTCCACAAACAATACCGTACCCCATGCAGGTATGAACACAAGCACAGCCAGCTACATCTGCACATCTTCTATATGCACAGCCACACTCTTTATAAAAAGAGGCACGTGTGCACACACACACACATCTTGCCTGAAGTGGGATGCAGCATGGTAAGGGGGCCAGCCTCATTGATGGGACTGCAGGGGATACAGAGGCAGCCTGGCAAGGCTAGCAGCCAGGTTTATTGGGTAGGAAAGGGCAAGAAAGGGTATCGAGTGTGTGGAAAGCGCTAGGGCAGAGGGCTGCTGTGCCTGGGCTTACAGCTGTCCACCTGCCAGAGCAGACCGAGGTCTTGCTCCCTCTGCCAGCCACTGACCCTGCTTCTCCCTCTAGAAGCAGAAAAGCAAAATTTTGCCTCTGCTTTTGAGCATGACTAGAGGCAGAGTGGACTGTGCTTGTGCTCCGTAAGCTCGTCTTGACACTTTCCATTACAACGTTTGCAGTTTCTTTTTCAAACTTCAGCTGTTTGCGCTGAAACTGCTCTGCCACGTGCCTGCCTCCCATTGAACTGTGTTTTTAAAAATTTCAGCAAAAGAAAAAAAAAAAAAACTGAAGCATTTCCAAACAAAAAATTGAGGAAAAAAATATGCTCTTTTGTAGATGTTTCAAAAATCCCTGCAGCTGTTTCACCGAGAAGAACTGCACAACAGGTCAGTAGGGGAGTCATTTGATATGAGGTGCTCATCACCATCCTGCTGGGACGCAGCCAGGCTTTGGTCCTTGGAAGGAGCCTCAGCTCACGTGTGCTTGGGGCACTCACAGCATTTGAACAAAGTCTGCAGAGATCATTTCTGCAAAGACGCAAGCTCTCTTCCCTGCAACTCCCCCTGCTGCTGTAATCAGCACCCTTGCAAGCAAGCATGCTGCAGCATGGCTGACAGCATAGCCCAGCCATTTCATGCCTCACCTCCCCACACCTCCAGGTAGGCAGGTGACAGCTTCCCACAGCAAGAGCTAAAACTGGACAGGGTGGGGAAAGCCTGAGCTATAGGGAAGGCTTAGCATGGACAACGTGCCTATAAATAAGAGGAATAGCTGCTGCTTCTGGCTGAGCATGGATAAAAGCAGCTGGGAACATTGGGACTGGGGTGCTACATTGGCACCCAGGCTTGCAAGGCCTTACAGTACCTTGGGTATACAGCAGGTAGCACCCTCTACCCCAATCCCATAGACATCCCCTGGAAGCAGCAGTGCACAAGCATGTTAGAGACATGCTGCAGAGCTGCCTAGAGACGCACAAACAACTCCCACAATAGCTGCTGGGTAGGAGAGCACTGGTCTTTGCACAGACCCACACAAGCTTGCAGCAGGTGAAGGCTGCTCAGGCACTGAACCCATCCCAGGATCAGCAGTGCTGGCCAAAACCAGGCCGCAGGGCAGCAGTGTGCTCCGTGTCACCTCCTCTCTTCTGCTGAGGACACAAATGCACACAGCATAGACACCTTCAGCAGCTTCCTGGGCACAGTGTGCCCACAGTCACTGCTGCAGCACCCAGCAGCCAACAATCAGCTCACAGGAAGGGGAAACCAACCCCTCCCCTCCCCCTCCCCAGGGGGCTGGGGAGAAGATTAGGGTTACCTACTCCCCCAGTAGCACTGCATGTGGGGAGTGGAGGACCAGGACTGCAGAGATGAAGGCGCAGCCCCCAGAGGCTCACCTTCCTTCAACAATTCAAAGACGACCTCCTTTCATGTATCCAGATCCCCAGTCTCCAGGCATTGAGGATGCAATGAGTTTTTGAGTCCAGGACTTGACGTTCTAAGCAGTCTCTCCACATAACACAGGCTGCAGGGATGCCCCACAAGAAATGGTTGGAAGGAGCTGGAGAGGCAATGCAGTGGGTGGACCACATCTACTCTTCTCCCAGAAATATCAGGAGTCCTGCCTGTACCCGCACAAACACCATTGGCTCCAGCGTCCTGGCTACCCTGCAGCCATGCTTCCTGCCCCTCCATGTATTTTATGAGACAGGAGAGTTAAATAGAAGCGCCAGCTAGAGGAAAGGCAGCAGGGAAGTATGTCTGGGAGGTCCAAACTTCCCCTCTTTAGCTTTCCGTAAGCCCTGGCAAGGCCATTGCTCACAGGGGGAAGCGGAGAAAACAGTGGGGAAAAGTAGACTGTCTCAGCTGCCAGGGAGGAAAGCCCAGAGGTGCTCATGGCCTTACAGAGCCAAATACAAGTCCAGGAGGGACGAGGAGAAACTGCCCTACAATTAGAGGGGCTGAGGAGTGCCCAAGGGGACTCTTGTTGAAGGGTACAGAGGGAGGTTGGCCAGGCTGGGAGAACACTACAGGGACCAGCATGCAACTGTATGCCAGCCAATGAGTAGCCTGAGGTACAGGCAGCATACCTCCCATGGCAGTGAGGAAAAGCAGGGCATACAGCACCCAAAAGCCAGGTGCAGGGAAGATGGTCACTATCTCTCATCCCAGCTGCACGCACAGCTGCCTTTCCTACTCCCCAGGTAGGATGGAGCTCTGAGCAGCCCCAGCACAGCTCTCACCCCTCCAGTCACTGAGAACAGTACTCAAAGGTCTGGGCTGAGGTGGCACCCGGGCTCCCAAGTCCTCCCCTGCCCTCCAAAGCAGTTCCCAGATGGCTCTGCAGCCCCCACCATTTTCAGGGCCAGGAAAGTTTGGCCTAGCTGTAGCAGGCCACAGACACTTGGTCCAGACCAGCTCAGCCTCTGTTCCATTAGCCCTGGCCACTGGCTCAGGCCAAGGCATGCAACTTGCGGGAGCTGAGGAACAGGCACTAACCCTCACTTAGGAGACTGGGGAGCGAGGCAGAACCCAGGTGCTCAAGGATAGCTGCCCAATAAATCCAACAGACAGGCTGGGAACAGTTGTGATTTAATCACTATTCGCCACAAATCCAGTGTATGGCAGAGCCAGCTAGCCAGACCAGCTCCCAGGTGCTCCCTGCAGAAGCATGCAGCCTCCCTGGCCCTCCCCTGCTCACAACACAGGTTTGGCACAGCACTTGCTCTCACAGCACTGTGTACGCCTTGCGTCAGAATAGCGGTGCCCATGACCAAGGTCTGCCCCCGCCAGCAGGGCGGGAACACTGAGGCGACTACTGCAAGCCAGCTTTGCTCCCCAGTCTGCCCCAGCCACATGCCTGAGGGCCAACATGGCACAGTTCAGGCTGTGGGTGGAAGATGCAGAGACCTACAGCCCTGGGAACCTTTGGCTCTGCTCAGCCCTGCAGGATAAGGTTAAGAGTCTGGCCCTGCTCAAGACAAGCCTGGCTCAGGTTTGTGCAAAGCTGGTGAGTATCCAGGGATCAGCTGCCCTCAGACAGGCAGGAGGCACCCTCAGCCTGCACCTGCTCAGCACTGCCAGGTCCACCTATGACCTTCCAATGGTCATCTCACCAGCTTCAGTTTCTACATCTGCATTGAGGCAGCTAGGAGACAGGTCAAACTACAGCTCCAGCTGGAGGACGTGGCCCTGGTCATCCCATGCTGTTGGCTCAGAGAAGGCTGGGGACAGCTAAGCCCTTGGCCTTTGGACCTCAGCACATGCCACAAAGCAGGGGGCTGCTCCTCCACCCTCAAGCTCACCATAGCAAAGGACCTGGACAACTTTCACCAAGGCAGGGGATCTTCAGCATCTGAGCTGCACTCCCCAGACACAGCCCAGGCACAGGGCTGCAGCTCAGGCCAAGCACATGGCAGAAGGGACATGCCTCTAGGCATTTCCAGCTGGCAGTCAGGGCAGCCCTACACCAGCGACCTCCAGAAGGCATACGTGGTTCAAACAGCAACAGGAGCACATCTCTGCCTAGGGCAAAGGCCTCTGGGTGAAAAACTACACTAGAACTAGGAAAGGGAACTGCAACAGTGGTTATACACAAAGGCCTGTGGGCACAGGCTGAGCCAAGTGCCGCATCTGGATCCCACTGGGCAGGGCAGTTAGTGGTTTGGGCCAAAGAGGCTGCCTGCAAAGAGACGTCTCTTGAACTCGCTCCAGAGGAGGTCCCGCTCTCGGTTCGCTCTCTTCATGAAGCCTCTGTTTTCCTGGGCCCTCCTGGACAGGTAGGGGAGCACCTCATTCACCGGGCCATAAGGCACATACTTGTAGACAGGGAAGCCCGCCTGACCTGGAGAGAGAGGCTGGTCATGAAAACGCCCTGAGCCAAAGACAGCCTACCTAATTCCCATCTTCCTGCTCTCCCATCTTCCTTGGGTTCTGTTGCAACGGGAGCACAGGGCTAGACATCTCTCTCTCCTGGGTAACAGCAACAAGCCAGTGGGACAGGCAGCTGGGGAAGAGGAGCTGGGCACTGGGGATGGAGCCATTTCTGATTTATTCCTAGATAGAGGTGCCCAAACTACTCCATATTGGCTGCTGTGATTTACAGGCAGATCATAGAGATGTGAGCTGGTGGAAAATGGGGCAGTGACAACATGCGAGACCAGCTCCCCAGCTTTGAAGGGCTCAGGGAATCAGGAGCAAGTCCTTTGCAACAGGGCAGGCAGCAGCTAATTTCACTCGCCGGAAGACACAGCCAAGCAGCCGAGAGGGGAAGTCTGAGAGCAGCCCAGGCAGATGTGGATGAGCCTGCCCAGAGCAGAGGGAAGCAAAGGCAAGTCCCTCCTCCTGCTCAGCACTGGAAGCTTGGGAACAAGCCGGAGAGGAGAGGGCCAAGGTCACTGGGAGCCCTGGGAATGTCAGCAGCCAGGGCCCAGCCAATTCAAGAAGCATTCAACCAGAAACATCAAGTTAACACATTTTTCCAGCATGACCAGAGGAGACTGCAGACACACAGCCAAACCCAGCTTGCTAGGGGAACTCCAGGACAGAGCAGTATCCATGCTGGACAATTGCCCAGTCTGCCTCACGCTGCTGTCCTGGCCTCAGGGTCTCTACTCTGGAGACCTGTGCAGGGAGGGAGATCAGTCAGTGACCTGCATGTGTCTGGGCTGGGCTATTTGGATCTTTGCATGTGCCTCAGTCTGTCTGGGCTGAGGCTGGTCCCCTAAGATGTCTAATCTACTGCCTGGGCCAGGAACAGAGCTGGAAAGGAGAGGACTAGGCTGGGGTCACTCAACAGCCTGTCCCTATCCAGCTACAGGAGAGCAGAGAGCCCAGAACTCAGCTGTGCATTGCATTGACACTCCTCCAGAGGAGCAAAGTAACACTCCTGGACCAAGGAGTGATGTACAGAAAAGGGTTTGCTGTCTGCCAGGATCCATCTCACTTCCTCCCTAAAGCTTACTAACAGCACAAAACAACGGGCAATGGGGTCCAAATGGCCAAGAACAATCAGCCCAGGCAAAGAAAGGAAGAACAGAACTGCTACTGAGCAGGATCATCCAGCCCCAGATATCACAGCCCTTCTGTTTACTGGTAGCTACATGCAAGAGCTTCCAAACCCATTGCTCAGCCTCCCCCTCAACAGTCCCCATGGCATCCAGCCTTTTCCAAGATGGGGCATTCTCATCACCCAGTGCCAGTCTCTCCCTGAACTTCACCACTTCTCTGTCCAGACAACAGGACAGCATCCTTAGGCAGTCCCACTGCCTGCTCCTGGCAGCACCGGTTACATCAGGACAGATCCATAGCCCTGCTCCATCAGTCCATTCACCCCACAATGGCTCTAGTTCTCAGCAGTTGCTCAGTAAGGCCTCAGGGGTCTCTAGGCTCAGAGGAGAATGGGACAGGACCATGCCTGCTGAGTCTTCCCCCCCTCCCCCCGTTTCCAGGTACTGGAGCTGCAGCACTCACCTAATGGGAAAGTGATCTGGTCGCACATGCCCAGCAGCTGCCCAAAGTACACCTTCTTCTCCGAGGGATGGATTCCAAGCTCCATCATCCTGCAAGCCATGCCTTAGTGTTAGAGAAAAGCAGAGACAGCAGAGCAGGCAGGAGCAGTGCATCCCACGCACAAAGCGGGGACTGCTTCTGAACACAACAGCAAGGCACTGACCATATCCCAGCCAGAAGCTGCGGTCCAAAGACTTGAGGAATTTAAAGAGCCTCCAGGCTGTGCCACGGGACTCACTCTGCAATTGCTGTGGCCTACTGTGCTGTACCCCAGCTCCAACCCCACACCAAGTCTCTGAGCACCAGATCCAGGGTAGGATCACAGTACCTGAGCATAGAGGACAGATCTGAAAAGTAGCAAGTTTCACCATAGCTCTGCCAGGCCCCACCTTCCCCAGGCCCTCAGGCCCAAGGCTTGGCACACTCCTGTCTCTCGACCACCTCCCCAGCTCCCACCTGCGCAGGGTGAACTTGACTGTGTCTTCATTGTGAGATGCTACCATCACATTGGCTTTCCAGCTGTGCTTGATCTCTTCCAGGATATAGTCCAGGCACCTGCAGAGCAGTTCAGGGCTATGTGGGGAGACTGCCCAAGTCCATGCCCAGCAGGGAGAAAGGAAGAGTACAGCTGTGGCTATCCCCTACCTGTGGTACATCTCACTGGTCTTCTCATAGGTGGGGTTGATGGGATCCTCATAGCCGATCTGGGCAGCTCTGTTTCGTTCCTGCTCCATGTAGGCACCACGGACCAGCTTGGTGCCAAAGTGCCAGCCCTCCCGGCGTGACAGCTCCACATCCACAGTCACATTGTCGTAAGCCTCCTGCCACCAGGTGGAAGAGACAGTGCACGGTCATCATATCAGTGCCACATCTGCCTCGCACCTCCAGGAACCAGCCCTGGCGCAACATCAAATGGCTTATGGCATTGCCATAGTTTCAGGAGCCAAAGTCTCCATGGGATCCAGCTGCTGCAGCAGGCCCTTTCCCCTGCTGTGCACCCTGGACCCTGCACAGCCTCCTGCAGGGCTTCACCTTCAAGTAGCACTGGTAGGTGTTGAAGATGATTGCCCGGTCCCTGTTGAAACGACGTTGCATCTCCAGGGTGAGTCTGCTGATGGCTGGCTGGAAGTAGGTCTGCTCTGCGTCCACCATGAGCCTCACACCAGTTTCTGTGGCCCTCTGGAAGGCAAACACCATAGAGGCTGGGCTGCTAGGACTGTCTGCCAATGCATCACCCTCTGCAGTAGGGCCTGCTCCCAAGCCAAGCACCTCCTCACCTTGGCAAGGACATCCATCCTCTGCAGCATCCGTTTCATCTGCAGATCCTCCTCCTCAGTGAAGCGTGAGAGCAGAGGCTCAAGCTGACCAGTCTGAAATGAGAACAGCCATGGGCGCATGGCACCCTCCTGGCCTCGGGAAAAAGTGCTGCAGGAAGCTGCTGCCTATGGCCAGGCCTGCTTGCCTGGAAACAGAAAAGCCCCACAGGAAGCCTCTTGCCACTCATCTCCAGAACCGCTGCCTGCCCCAGCTCCTCAAGCACAGCATGCAAAGGATGCCCACCCTACAGGCCTGGCTGCTGCTTGGCAAGGCACAGAAAGACCAGGACAAACCCTCCCAGACTGGCACAGATGGCTGGGCATGGGTGCCTAAGTGAGTCCAGCCTCCTAACAGGGCTGCAGGAGCCCAATGATGGTGCTGCCCCAGGACAGCTGTGAGCAGCAGCTAGCACAGTGATGAACATCCACATCGATGGGGCACTGTTAGGATAGCAGCAATCCTGTAGGCCGGATGCAGCAGCTGATGTGGCCGTCCAGGAGAGGAAGCTGGCACAAGCTGAGCAGGGAGGCAACATGCACTCACATGGCCCTGGAGCTGCCTGTGCACCACAGATTAGAGCATGGCTGACTTCCAGCAGCACCAATGCCAGCCAGTGCTGCAGTCACAGCTGTGAGCAAGCTGCCGGACAGGGCCAGCAGACCTACAACCTATCCCCTCACACTGCTTCCCCCTAGGCCTTCAAGGGCTGTTGACCAGCACAGATACCACTGCTGCCCCTCTGTCCAGCTACTCCTCCCCTGTTCTCCTCTCCAGTGCTGGCCTGTAACTGCCAGCTCTGTACCAATTCTGGCTGTGCCTTAAGCAGGGCACTGCAGAAGGACCACTCAAGAGCACATGGCCAGCCCTGCCCAATCCTTTCTGGGTATGTGATTGCCTAACTCCTGGCTGGCCCATTCACATCCCTTTGCAGGAGGTTCACAAAAAGGTCTGCAGCAGCTCTCCAGGCTTACACCCCCTCTTTGGTCCCCATGGAGGGTCCCCCTCTTCCCATGGGGAGGGGGACAAGCTCCTGCCTCAGGCACAGCTTGAAAGCCAAAGACAGAGAAGAAAGTAGATACCTAATGGAGGAGGGTCCTCACAGCACCCTGACCTCAGAGCAGCAGTCAGGCACCAGAGAGGGACAGGGAGGAGCTGCCTTGCATTGGCACTGCCCTGCCTGCAGGGCTGCTCTGGGGACTGAGTCTGGCCAAAGCACTTACCCACCTGCATGTTAGGGACAAGTAGCAGCTTGGATATCTTGGTGCGGCTGTCGATTAGGCTGTTCCAGTCCAGCAGGTCCACAGTACTGTAAGCAGAGTGCCAGGTCAGTACCTGTGGGGTACTTGAGGCAGAGGGAGGTCTCTGCCAGCTTCCATGCTTCCACCCTCCACCAGCATGCAGGGTGTGCTGTGTGTGGCAGACTGTACCACTGGCCCATCTTGTCACCTCCATCAGAACCTCCTCTGCTTGGAGAGACCCCGGCCCCTTGCCAAGCCAGTGCTGGCCTTCAGAGAGTTCTCCTTGCTGCTGCACTGACTGCATCCCAAGAACTGAGGGAGGCTGAATGAAGTTCCCCCCCGTGCTTCCCCCACAGCACCTTGCAGGTCCCACAGAACTTACCCGCTCACACCCAGGTTCTCGCCTGTGAACCAGTGCTGACTCTCTGCTTTGGTCGCAATGCCGAGGTTAGCCAGAGCCTCCTGCCAGCAAAAGAAGTGTCAGTACCAATGCTAGGGGTAGGAAGACACCCAGAGCCAGTGCTGGCATAGCTCCCTCCGCACAAGGAGAACCCAATTCCAGCAAGGCAATGGGTTCAAGGAGGAGCATGACAGGACTGGGATCATGGCAAAAGGGAAAAGTGGGAGTCCATCATAACTGGGGACAGTAATAAACCAGCAGGGGAAAGGCAGGGCCAAGGACAAGTCTGGAGGTAACAGCACCATACTGGGCTACAAAGCCAGGTATGAAGAAACCAGTCTAGATCCGAGTCATCACAGTTCAGAGCTGCTCTGGGGGCCCTGTGGAAACCAGCCACCTCCAACAGTGCATCCCTAGTGGTAGGTCCTCCCCAGCCCTCAGGCAGCACAGCCTTGTCCCTCGGACATCACTCAGCTCACCTGCAGCTTCTCCACCTCCAGCTTTGTCTCCAGTGCTGCTCGCCCAGCCTGGCCCTGCTCAGCAGCCATTTGATGGAAAAACCTCCGCCACTTCACCAGCACCTCTGAGAACTGCAGCTGCAGGATCAGAGCTTGGTGTGAACTGCCCATGCTAGGCACAGGCAGCTCAGAGCCTCTTGTGGTGCCAGGGCTTGGCAGGACCCTACCCAGCCTGAGGCAGGCCCCGCAAGCAGACCTTGACTGTGTATTGCCTCTAGCAGGGGGATCCTCACCTCTGGACGGGAAGCCACAAGTAGTACAGACCGCTCACAGCCTCACGTAGGGACTTCTAAATGTCTAAACTCTTGTATTGTGTGCTCCCAAAGGTTGAGGCAGAACCTCCCAGAAGGTCTCAGGCACAGAGGGGACAGCCTATTGGAGCCCGTTCTACTCTGTCACCAGCAGAGACACCACCTGCAGCAAGCATCCTATGGCAGAGCCAAGGCACCTGCCCCTGCAGATATGTCACCTGGCATTCTCCCCACCTCACCATTATACAGCCCTGGCACCCAGGGGCACTCACCAGGAACTGGGGTCTGCCCAGTGCTGTCAGCTTGATGGCCGAGAAGCCGTCCTCAGAGCTGCCACCTGGACAGAGCCACAAAGCACAAAGCTGACTAGACAAGAAGAGCTCCCAGGCAGGAGAAAGATATCCGAGATATGGGCATAGGCTGTGCAAACAGGCCAGCTAGGCAGGGGCTGCAGAGGGCGCAGACAGCTTCCTGCAGGGTCCCTCGAGTACTAATGCACAGTGGGGCTGCTCAGGCCATGTCAAGCACTTACTCGAGGCATCGATGCAGCGGAGGAAGGTCTCCATGTGCTGGTCACACTTGGCCTCATCAGCATAGAAGTATGTGCGGGCACTGATAACTCCACCGCGGCGATCTCCAAATCCACGATGGGCCCGGTACTGCTTCTCCCTCTGCTCTGCTCCTGGGAAAGGAGAGGCCAGAGATGGGCTATGCAATACAACTTGTATTTTGAGGCTGTGGGAGCCGGGTCCTTCCCCTATGGCAAGCCCATGACATCCAGACTGGCTGGACTTTCAGGCAGGAACTATTTACTGTGAGCAGGAGAGGCTGGTTCACTCACCTCCCATTTCCTTCTCAGATGCAGAGGTGCAGGAGCTAAGAAAAGAAACAGAAACAAAGGGCCACATCAGCAATTCTCTGAACCCCATGCCGGTGAGCAGGGTAGCCCCCCAGGCTCTAGCTGCTAGCCCACACAGCAGGGCTGTTCTTCCCTTGCACTCCTAGCAATAACACATTAAACTCTGCTCAGTTAAACCTCCACTGGCAGATCAGGTGCTTCAAATGCTCCTGTGGAAACAAAGGGGTTTCAATGTCCAAGGAAACTTTATTCAGGGACCTGTGACAGCACAGGATGGGCATTCCATCCTGTGGGCGAGAACTGCTCTCAGAACAGCTCTGGCAAGGGATCCAGAGGGCTGATAAACCCCAGGCCAGCTGCAGTTGATGTCATCCATCCCAAAGCAAGAAGAGGTCAGTCCTGGTGGAGCCAGGTGCCCTGCCTCTGACCATGGCAGCCCATGTTCCTCACCACAGTGGTGCACCATTCATGCCAAACCTTGGCCTGACGCCTCTGCGCCCTGGAAAAGCACCAGGTGCCATTCACCAAGCAAAGGACTTTTCCAGACCGTCAGGCTGTAGGATCTCCTGCTAACAGGTCAGCTGTCCTGATACTCTTCACCTAAGCGTTAGTCAACAAATCACAAACAAAACAAGGCTCAGCTTCAACTCCAGCTGACCTTGCATGACATTTCAAGACCAAGCTTTGTGCCACAAAGATAACAGGGCTCTGACAGTCCCAGCAGGCTGATGCTGGCCAAGTCATGATTTCCTCCTCAAACTTGAGCAGCTAAGCCTCCTCACTGACACCTTAAATCCAGCCTACAGATACGGATCTCACAGAGCAAGGCATGGGAATATTGCCAGCCCCTAGAAAGCGACCTCAAGCAGTTGGAGAGCTGTCTCCTCCCAGAAGCTCTATCTTGCCCAACTCCAAAGTCAGTGTCCCAAAACTGACCTTCCCTTAGGACATGCAGAACAGGGTCTTAAGGGGAAGCACAGCATGAGCAGAGCAGGAAACCCATACAGCAGGAGCCAGAGGGCCTCTCACAGGAGATCAGAGAGGCATGCGACCCTGTCACAGAACAAATTCACCCACATGGAAGCCTTGTGACAGGGATTAGGGGCCACTGGAAACAAACAAGCAGAGCCAAGCCCTTCCTCATGCTGAGGGTCCCCAGAGCCAGGAAAATCCTGCATTGCTCAAAGCACAGTGAAGCCTCACATGAACCAGGGCAAAAGCAGCCAGAGCTCATCAGTAGCAGCAGGCACTGTGCCATAGCCAGTCATTCTGCAGTCTCTTCTCCATGATTTTGCTTCCCCCAGGACAGGTAAAGAAACGTTCTGCCTCTAAATACAAAGAGAGGAAGAAAGGAAGGAGAAGAGAGATTATACATCCAGGGATAAGATGCAGTAGCAGAGGCCACAACAAATAGAAGCCCCCCTTGGAGCAAGCAGCATGTCACAGTGGAAGACTTCAGCTGGACACACTGCTGGGACTCTAAGGATATGTCAGGAGAGATGTGCCCTACAGGCAGATCCCAGGTGCAGCACAGCAGGACAGCTCTGTAACCACAAAGCACACCAAGTGCAGAGCCCTTACATCCAGCATCTAAGATGTTAGAAACAAGTGGCAGGAAGCAAAGCTTCCCCAAACCTATGCAGACTGAATGTACATAACTGAACTATCAAAAAACACCCTTGAATTTGAAGCATTTTGTGTTTCTGAAGACAAGCACACCCTCTCCAGCAGCATTCCTCTCCAGCAGCCTTCCTGCTGCATGACTGTAATGAGTCCTTTGTTCCCTGAGGGGGCATATAAAGCAATGCCATGGTGTTCACTTTATTATTCCGCATCAAGCAAAATAAAGGAGACTCCTCCTTCCAGCTGAAGAAATAGATCTTCCTGGATATTATCTGTTTTACTTGTAATATTAGTCTTGGCTAGCAATTCCTAGCTATGGCTGTAGCCATTCCTACAGCATCGAAATGCCACTTATCCCAGACCAAACGAAGTTAGCTTATACCTGGCCACCCTTTTGCCAACGGACAGCAAATGTCCCAAAATAGGAAGAAGCTCCATGCACTACCCTAAAACTTCTAGTAAGGAACTATCTGCAAGACGCTATCAGGTCTTGTCAGGGCCTGGGAAGTGATACCCACACAGCAAAGCATGCAAGTGTCACTACACGCATAAGCCCTATGCTGTTGAGCACAGCACAAACCAGGCTCCCCCCAAGGTGCTGCAGAGCAGGTTATTAACAAAGCTGTAGCACGATGGAACAGCAAGCTTGTTGAGCTGCAAACTGCAGCATGTAACTCACTTCAGTCTCACAGCCTAGCAAATATGACATTTACCTTTAGAAGTTTCCAGCACCAAACCAGAGAAAGTGTAAAAGTGAGTTTACACAATTCTGCTTTAGTGGGGAAGAATCAACGTAGCAGTGAGGAAAAAACAAGTCTGTTGGATTGCTGTGAAAGACTAATTCAGCTCACACAGCAGACTTGGACTCTCAGGAAGCTTTGATCAGGCTCAAATAAGCTGTCTCAGAAGCACAAAGGTCCTCTTGTCAGAAGTAAGTACATAACAACCCATTTCACACTGGAGGTTACAGCAGGGTGCCAGAAGAACAGGGTATTTGCTTTACCCATCAGCAGATGGGTCTGGGAAAAGGGATGAGCAACCATCAGGCAAAAGTTGTTCCAAATTATCACAGCCAAGGCAAATATAATGGTCACAGGAAGCTCAGGTCTGAACTATGGACAGTGTATAAAACCATGTAGGCAAGATAAAGCAAAGCATTTGGCAGAAAAAGTCCCTCAAACCTCCCCCCACGCAGTGAGGTTTTTTCACACACCAGTCCAATGCTGGGACTGCTGCAGCAACTCTTTACACAACCTGCCATCAAGACTAAAGAGAAACCATCCTGCTGCCAGGGAGATTCACAGCACACCCAAGCACAGCTCAGGGCACCTCTGTGCAGCCATCTCGGCAGATGGCAAGAGCACTGGAGCAGGTGGAGGGAAGGAGAAGAAGCTGCTCTGAGCCTCAAGAACTGCTCTGTGAGGTTGGATTAGCCAGACTGGAATTCTTATGGTGGAGCATATATCTGGTGTCCACACAAGAAGTCTCTAGAAGAAGCAAACTTTGCTCCCTCTAAAGTCCAAGTGCTGCATGGTGGAGCC